TTGATTAAGGCTGTTGATATAGGTCTGTTTCAAGGGTTGGTAATTCCTTTCAGTTGTCACACCTACAGTTTGCAGATGATTTAATCCTTTTTTGCAGAGATTCTTCAATGCAAATTCTAAATATTAGGAGAGTATTGAGGGTTTTCGGTGTTATGTCTGGGTTACACTTAAACTTGTCTAAGTGTTCATTATTTGGGGTTAATATGGAAGCTGACAGGGTTAAAGATTGGGCTATGAAAGCGAGCTGTGGAGTGGGGTCTTTTCCAATGTCTTATCTTGGTTTACCGATTGGAACTAGGAAAAATTCAGAGGGTATGTGGGAACCGGTTGTCCAGAATTTTAATAAGAGATTAGCTGGGTGGAAAGCTAAATCGTTGTCGCTGGCGGGCAGACTTGTTTTGGTTAAATCCGTATTATCATCCTTGCCAATCTTTTTTCTATCTATTTTCAAGATCCCTCTAAAAGTGACTCAGAAGTTGAACTCGTTGATGGATAACTTCCTTTGGGGTGAAGATCTTGATAAAAAACGAATTAACTGGGTGAATTGGAAATCGGTTAGTAAACCAATCGAAGAGGGTGGTCTGGGAATTCTTGACTTAAGGTTGATTAATAGGGTCCTACTTGGGAAATGGGTTTGGAAATTTGCTAATGAAAAATATAGTGTGTGGAAGAATATGATTTGCTGCAAAAACAACGTTAGCAGTATCTCTTTCAATTTCAAATACGGCTTCACCTTTAGACTCCTGGATATGGAGAGGTATCCTCAGTAACTATGCTGTCGACGAATAAATGGGGGATGGTTTTTGAGTTTGGGGAGTATGAAGATGATGTCTGGGTTTGGAACATTCAACTTAGAAGAAATTTGTGTGATTGGGAATTGGACCAGTGGATCGCTTTAATGTCATTGATCGACAAAATTTCGTTGGAACGATCTGTGGATGACTTCATGGGATGGTCAGGAAAGGGGAATGGCATGTTTTCGGTCAAATCTTGTAGACAGACGTTACAAGGTGGGTCGGAAGAGAGTTATGAGCGGAAGAAGTGGGTTTGGGATGGATTGGCCCCTCCTAGAGTACAAACTTTTTTATGGCAGATCTGTAATCAGAAATTAGCAGTTAGAGTGGAATTGAAGAAAAGAGGGATTCAGATTTCGGAGGTTTTGTGTCCATTATGTCTTTTTAAGGATGAGTCTATTGCACACCTATTCCTATCGTGCACTGTTGCCTCGGATTTGTGGAGCAAATTCCTAAGGTTACGGAATATCTCTTCGGTGTTGCCTCAAGACCCTTCTGCTATTCTGTGCTCGTGGTCGAACCTAAGGCATAATTCACTTATTTGGAGGTTTATTCCGGATGTCATCTTCTGGTCTATTTGGAAGGCAAGAAATTTGGTTGTTTTTGAAAACGGCAAGTGTGACTCTAATGTTCTGTTCTTTATCACTAGATTTAGATTGGCGAAATGGTTCTTAGCTAAATACCCTGGGTTCGGATTCAGACTGACCTTCTAGTAGGGGATCCTACGCGGGCTGATAAACTCCTCCCTAGTTCGAATACTAAGAAGGTTATTGGCTGGACTCCTCCACCATCGGATATGTTCAAACTTAATGTTGATGGGGCAGTGACTGGAGATGGGATGCAGGGTGGTATTGGTGGTGTTTTGAGAGACTCCTTTAGTTGCTCTTTAGCTAATTTTTCTTCTGCAGTAGGGTCGGGTCTCCCTTTAGTGACTGAACTAAAATCTATTAAGAATGGATTGGTCTTTTTCTTTTCTTCCAATTGGGCTAACAAGGGTAGACTTATTTTGGAAAGTGATAGCAAATGTGCAGTGGAATGGATTTTAAAGCTACAACCTGCTCCTACTTTTTTCAGTGATTTGGTGGAGGAAATTGGAGTTCTTGTTACTGCTAAGGGCGTCGTTCTTAGATGGGTTCCTAGGAGTTGCAATATTGAGGCTGACAGGTTAGCTAAGCAGGGGATCGGTTGAGTGTTGTAGGCGTTCTGTTGAGTCTGATGAACTAGCTGAGGATGGGTTAGGCTGAGGGGTCTTTGTTTCCCATCGCTATTTGTATTAATGTTATGTTTTATTATCGAGGGTTAGAGTGTTATGTTTATCTTATGTTATTCAGGGTTAGAATGTATTGTGTATATTATGTAATTCTGGTCTATTAATAAATTGAGGTACTCTTTTCCTCCTTCAATTAGTTGCCACTTATCAAGAGTCAACTATGAGGGAGGTTTTTAATGAGACCTCCTATTCCTATCAAAAAAAAAATCATGATGCCTCTTTCAACTTTGTACATGAGAATGAAATATAATGGAAGTTCCTTATGTGTTTAAATGTCCTTTGTAGAGTTCTTACTATATCTATTACTGGTAAGATTTCTTTAACTTGGTCCTGGTAAGCATTTTTTAACTTGAAATTTTTGCTGTTTTCTTCTCTGGTTTTCATGGTATACCATATGCATATGTGCTTCCTTCTGTTGCTACAGCGACTTACAATTCAATGAGCTATGCACCAAATGGGGCTGGAGTGAAGTTTCGGGACCGCAAGGTTCATCTCTTTCTGTTTGCTTTCTATGTTCTGCCTGGTGACTGATGCTAATTTGCTTTGTTCTGTGCTAGGCAAAGTATATTAATTTATTACTTTTTGCTTTTGCATTTTCATGGAGGACGATAACATGCTCCTTTCATTTGTTTTTTAGCAGACTCATACAATAGTTGATTTGTTAACTCTTTTCTGCCAAATTTTATGATACTTCTATAACTGTTGTCTTGTAGTATATGTTTCTTGGACTTGGGTATGAGTGTTGGATATGAGTATGAGTCGACATAGGGTTGTTAATTTTTTCTAATATTTTTCATGTTTTTTGTTGGGTCCTTAGGGGGTGTCATATCCCCACACCTTATTTATGTTCGAATATGTCAGACATGGGTGCTTTAAGCTAAATGAAGAGTAGTAGCAATATAGTTATATTTCTTGTGTCATTTCAATTTTTAATGCCTCTCTAAACCCTTATTATTTACTTTCCAAGTGATGTGACTCATATTCTGAAATCAACAACTCATGCTATATGTGTATATTGTCGTTAATCGATCTTTGCTTGACAGCATTCTTTTACATGAATATCCAGGAGGATCATAGCAACTCCATCACAATTGGTGTTTCCGATGAGCATATAGGACTGGTTCTAGGTCGTGGTGGAAGGAATATCATGGAAATTAGTCAGGTTTATAAATGAGAAATGTATACATTTGGTTCCATAGTATTCTGCTTATGTTCTGAATTTGAGCACTTTTTTATTGCAGGTAAGCGGTGCCAGGATAAAAATATCAGATAGAGGCGATTTCATGTCTGGAACAACCGACAGGTACAGCAATCCCAATTTTATCAATCTGCCATTAAGCACCGAGTTCCTAGGTAATGTTTTCCCCTTTACCTTGTGCAACAGGAAAGTCACAATCATGGGATCACAAAGAGCAATTCGTCAAGCCGAGTCGATGATAATGCAGAAGGTGGCAAACGCCACTGAGAGGGTGATGGATTAGTCTTCCGGCTATCAAAAGATTCAAAACCATTATTGTCGAGGCTTACGATTTCCTCGCATAGTTTGACTGAACATATTTGCATTCATTGGCATGCAATGAGTTGTTGACAAAGCTATAAGATCGTGAAGGTAGCAGCAGGAAGGGGAATTTTTTTTATCGAGCAGAGCTCTTATTAGGTATTTTTCGAAACATACAAACTAATTTTCTTGATTAAAAAAAACAGAAAGAAAAATGATGTTAGAATAGACTATCAATTGTAACAGCTAGCAATTGTTTACTTTTATTGAATAGCTGAATTATAACTTTCAGATGATACCTATTTTTATATTCAAATTTTGCAGCATTTTTATGTATTAATTATCGAATACTCATGATCTAAATCTTATAATAATTATGCATTCAACTTATTTGGATTCAATTCGCTTTACTGAACCTATATTGATTGGATGTTCCTTTAGAGAATGCAAGAATTTGTATAAAAAAGTTTGATTTACAGGGTGAATTTAACGTAAGTAAGAATGTTTTAAAAATTGGACAGGTGATAAAATTGATTAAATTATAGATTTTTAAGGAACAATCAGTTGGAGTTTGCTAATAGAGTAAGCTGAGTTGGGAATATTATATTATAATGAATTTTGATAATATTAGATATAGACTAATTAGTTAATAGATCATATATTAATGATTAATTTAATATATATATAATTTTTATTTAGTCGGTTTGATTGGTTTAATTATACTAAAAAATAATTAGAAAAACTTTAAAATCTCAACCGGTTGAACCCTGATCCCATTTCTACAATTTTACTTGATTAGATTATTATTTTTTTACTTTATTCTGTCGGTTTGATCCGATTCTAATAATTATAATAAACAATAAATAGAGATTATATTATTATTTTCAATTTAATCTATTGGTCTGATCCAACTCTAACCATTATAATAAACAATAAATAGATATAAATTTTAAGGTAATTATTATTTTTTAAATTTAAATATTTAAAATATATAGATATTCGACTAATGGGATCCATATATTGAACGCACAGAGTAGTCTGATTTAGAAGTACATAGAACAACTTCTTGTATGGGAAACGCTCACGTGCGGCCCTGTATGGAGGAGTGTAAGAGCCAACTTGTCATGAGGGAGCAATTCCTTTTCCGACAGATTTTATAGTACATGAAAGAGATCCATTTTTGGGTGAAATAAGAAGTGTAAGCAATAAGAGTGGAAGTCTGTTTCCCAATAGATTAGGATCCCCAAGCCTAATTGCTTTGAAATAAACCTAAAACTGCCCCTGGATGATCACTCTGTGGGGTGTAGTCGAACCAATAATCATTAAACAGCATCTGTTGCTCAATACTGACCAAAATGACCCCTTCGACTTTTAACTTTGATGTATATTATTCCCAGTAGAATTACATGTTATTTTGATGTGAAGAAGAAGAAGAGTAGAATAACAAGTCTCCTTTATTGTTATTAGCATCGGTACATCACAATGAAACATGGACTATACTATAATATGCCTTACACAAGTCGTGGAATTCTTTCGCTATTATATATACGCAATCCCCCCCATGCAAATCCATGCAAAAGCTATTACATTTGTAACTTATTTTAAAATTATAAATCACAATGATTAACTATAATATCTTTACTTCTACCTAAATCCAATCTTCATCTCTTAATTAGTTTATGGTGAGTAATCATCGTCTCCGCCGCCGTACCCTGAACCATAGCCAGACCCACTGCCGTACCCTGAACCTTGTCCATAACCATTGCTGCCGCCACCACCTCCTCCTCCCCCTCCACCACCACCTCCTCCTCCACCACCTCTACCTCCTCCGCTTCCGTATCCAGATCCATAACCTGAGCCATATCCGCTTCCATAGCCTCCATTACCTCCACCTCCGCCACCTTTTCCACCACCTCCTCCACCTCCTACACCGCTTCCGGACCCATACCCTGACCCGTATCCGGACCCATATCCAGACCCATACCCATTGCCTGATCCACCTCCACCGCCACCACCGCCACCTCCACCACCACCTTCTCTACCAGAACCGTACCCGGAACCCCTTCCGGAACCATATCCGGACCCCAAACCATTTGCACCTTCGCCACCTTTTCCTACACCCCTAAATGACCTAGCAGCAAAGGCCAAGTCCACTAGAAACAAAGCCAAAAATGCAGCACCGATAACCCTAGTACTCCCCATTGTTCTAAAGCTCATGAACAAAAACAAAATAAAAGCAACACTAAATACCACTCTCACAGTAGAAGAAAACTTTAACAAGCCTGGTTATTGAATTGTGTAAAAGATGAAGGGCAGGGTCCTCTATTTATAGGGCACTGCAAAGTGGACAAAACACTTAAATAATCCCCCAAAGCTACCTCAAATTCTAGTATCTTCTTCCCTGCCTACAACAACAACCACAGGTGACGCTGATACCATTTTTAGTGCTCATCTTTTTGTATTTTATCTTCCCACATCCATTTTTCATTTGGTATATTAATAATTTTGATAACTAAATAACAAGGTATAACGTTTGTCAATTTAAACTTTTTAAGTTTTATTTTTTTTAAATATTTTAAATTTTAACGTCTTTTTTCTTATTTAAATAATAATTTTATAAAATAATCATTAATAAATTAACGATATAACGCTTGTTGTTCATATATGCATCCACATGTATTTAAATTTTGATACGATATATTAGCATAATTAAATATATATAAAAAATATCATATTAATATTTGAACACGCGTGGATGTACGTTAAAAAAACATGGGTAGTAAGTTATTATTTTTTGAATTAATTATTGGTATCTAACTATTGATTGACTAATCAAAATCGGATTTTATAATGGTCCATTATAGGAGTGACTCTCCCAAAACTAGTTTTCTCTATTCGGAATGATCAATATTTGAACTATTGATATTACTTAAAGAATTTAATGTTTCATCTCACAAAATCAACTAATTACTCATAATGTTCGTGTTAATTTAACTAACAATTTTAATTTAAAAATGACAATTTTAATTAAAAATAAAATATTAAATCTTTAAATATTTTAAGAAAATAAAAATTACAATAAATATTTTATCAAATATTAAAGCCGAATTTTAATATTAGATTAGAATATAATAAAAATAATAACGCAGCGGTGCTCGAGGTGTGGGATCCTGTGTCTGTTAGTGGATCACTGTCTTGTTACTCTACCCCACTTTTTGACTTCGGATTTTGGAACTTTATATGATTTTGGGATTTGGTAATGGGACCAATTGGGATGCATTCATACCAGAGAGCTGCGAATATAAAATATATTTTAAATTTAAATAGTTTATAATATAATATTTTTAAATTAATTTATTATCTTTATAAAATGCGTAGAGAGAATATAGTAATGTAAATAGTGAATTTTATTTGTTCAGAAAATCCGTAGTTGTGGCTTGTGGATGTGGCGGTGCCACGTAATAATTAACCAATAGATAAAGTAATTTCAAATCGTTTTCAACCTCTCGTCAATTATGCACTAATTACTATGAATGATCGAAGTATAATCTTGATAAACAAATCATTATCATGGCCGCGTAAACATTTTTAAAACTCAATCCCAACGATAAACACATGGAAATTATGTCATTAATATATATATATATATATATATTTTGAGCAATTGATCCCTCATTTCTTAATTATTTTCTAGATAAGATTATTATAAATAAATAATAAATATAAAATATTTAAATTCAAGTCCAATTTTATTAAATGCTAATGTGTCACGATTGATTCATGAAGTAATTTTTAGATTCTAGACATCAATTTTAAAGTGTAATAAATGAAAGAATTAAGGGTGCATAAAGCCATCGATTCTTTAGGGGGGGGGGAACAGTTAAATCTCCTTTTTTTTATCGAATTAAAATTTGAAATTAATAAATTAAACCAATTAAATTCTTGAATTGATAAATTAATCAATTATATCCTTTCTCAATTTTATCTGTGAACTCTTAATATTTTTTACCCTGCTTTGCTATGTGAAATTTACATATTTAAAAAAATATAAAAGAATTATTGAAATTTTAAAATAAATTAAAATATATAAATTTATTAAATTCGATAATTTTTCAAAAAATTATTTGATCAAATTGCGATGTGATATGTGATACCAACTGATCTATTTTTTAAAAAAATTAACGACAAATATTGATAAAAAGTAAATTAATAAAATTTCAAGTAAAACAATCATTTATTTTTCAAAATTTTGAATACTTTTAGAGCCTAGATGAAATAATAAGGTCAAATTGGATTTATCCTATGGTCAATAACAAATAGCAAATATATAAGGTCTCACAAGTACCAAAACAAAATTATTAAAAAAAGTACTAAAAATATTATAAAATTACAAAAAAATTGTGAGAATATAAAATTTTTGTAATTGCAAAAACAAATAGTAATAAAGCTCTAACCTTAATTTTTTAACTACAATTTAATATTTTTGATTTAATCAAACATGTATAATTTATTAATTGATTAATCTATATCAAGTATTGTAGATGCCTATTATGAGAGTTTTTCCTAATCTTATTTTATTTAATTCACAATGTATGAATCCAAACCTAACCTTATTTGAAAGATCTAATGTCTGATATCTCGTTTCATTAAACTAATTTATTGTTGCCGTATTTACAAAAAAATCAAAGATTAAGAAAACTTAATTCTCTATAATTTTTTAATAATTACAAATAAGATAGTGTAAAAGTATTTAAAATTATGGAAAATAAGATAAAAATAGTTAAAATTTTCATAATTATAAAGAAATTAGAAAAATTATATTTTTCATAATTACAAAATGTTAAACTTATTTACAAAACTTCAAATACTCATAGTATTTTAATGGAAAAAAATATGGAAAGAGGAATGTCTCATGGTGCTAGCAATTTACACACGTCATGCTTTTGGAATGCCTATAACTCAAAAGGCCACAATAGATACGGATGGATTTGAGTGGGTGGGTCAGTATTTCTTCATGAAATATTTAAATTATTTTATATTTTATATATTTTTATGTATTTTTTATTGATAATTTATTTTATATATTTTTTATTAATAATTTAATTTAATTTTTAAAATTTTAAAATTTTCCTTTTCTTTTAAGATTTTATACGTTTATATCTTAATATAAAATAATATTGTATCCAAATAAATATATAAATTCCACTAAGTCACCTACCCAAATTCTTGTAGTGGGATTGTTACTTGTTTCTTTATACATTTGTTAGAATGACATGTGGTCTTTTACTTTGCTTGGCTACAAATATGTACTTCTCTACCTTTCAATCATGGCACTTTATCTTCAACGTGGGACGGAAATTTAGTCAATTTCATACTTCTTTTTGGTTTAATGAATTACAGCTACTAAGCACTTCAACGCATTTTTGCACAAACGTCTGGTACATATCTCTGTATATCAATACTTGTCTCATTATCATTTTTGTCTTGTCAAAATCATATTTAAATACTAATAAAAAATTATATTGGTCAATTGGACCGGTCCAATTGAAACCGCTGATCCATTCGTTTGATAGACATCCTCGAATTCAAAACTAATCAACAGTCGATCAATCGGGAAGTTTTATCGTGTACCAGTCTTAATATATAGTTAAAGAAAAATATTATCGATTTTGTTATTATTTTTTTTACAAAATTGATAAAAAAATTATCTAAAACATTATTATTTTTACATAAAATATTAATATTTTTTAATATTTCCGGTAAAGTATCTAATAATAACAAAACCGATAGAAAAAAATAACAAAACCTATAGCGTTTTACCATATATGTTAACAAAACCGGTAAAGCGTCCAATAATAACAAAACTGATAGAAATAATAATGTTTTCGGTAATTTTTTACCGGTTTTATTAAAAAATAATAACAAAACCGGTAACATCTTTCTTTAACCGTATATTAAGATTATCGCACGTGAAATTTTCCCCAATCAATTGGGTGGTGTAATGGTGAAAAACTTGTTATAATATGTTTTTGTTTGTTTAATTAAAATTATTTTTAACTGATAAAAATTACTTTTAAAATATTATATATATATATATATATATATATAATACCATTAGCATATATGATACTAATCTAGTATCGAAATCACAGATTTTACAATTAATTTATATTTATTAATACAGTTGAACTATTAATCCGAATGTGACACCAGTTTGACATTTATGTATTTGATGTCATATTCATATTATTTTTTAATATTGATCTTATTTTCATTAATTTTCAGAAGTTACAGCTCAATGAAAACGATTTTCACCACTCATCCAAATTGTAATAAAAATAAATTTATAAAAAAAAATAACTTCTATATTTATTTCTATATAATTCTTAGATAATGATTTCAATGGTTAAAACAAATATTGTTCTTTTTTTAAGATTTTGAGTTTAAATAACTACGTCCGTAAGATATATGTAAATTGTTAATAACTAAACAAAAATTATGTACAAATACCACTTTATCGAGGATTTTTTTTAATATTGTAGACGGTAAAATTTGATTAATTAGTTTTTTAAGGGAAAAAAACTTTTAAAATGTAGTTTGATAATGCAGCGACACCTGTCATCAATACTTACAAGTGGTTTCGTGGCTACCTCTAATTTTGAGGATGAGATTAGACATTAATGCATATTTTGAAGGCACTGAATGTTCAATAATAAGATATGGAATCATAGTTTAGTTTGAATTGAAGATGATTTTGGTGCCTAGAAATTAGGTGCAAGGCAATATGGAAGACAACGGTTTAGTTTAGTGGTAAGCACTACATGCATGTATAGTATTGGTTGAATGGTTATTATTATCAGATTTAATGTTACATGATAGGTTGTAGAATTTTTCAAAAAAAATATATTAATAGTCTCTTAATTTATTTTGTACCAAATGTGTACCGTCGATATTACGAATATGCACACATCTTTTGCAGTGACAGAAGAGTCGTCTTTTGCGGTCAATTCTAATAATGAGAATATTTTGTTTGATTAGAATATTAACATAATTTGATTTCTAGTTAATCTAATGCTTAATGATGAGAAATTTAAAAAAGTAGTTTTTAGTTTCGATTAGACTATCGTATCCTCTTGTTATTATTTCTGGTGTCGTTCAATGGTTTCTTTAATCGAAAATATAATCAAACTATTCTTCTTCTCCTATTTCTTTAATCCAGTTCAAACTTGTCAGGAAATATTATAATCTCCTCAGATATCAACTGAAACTAAAATCTAAAACTTTTTCAATTTGTCATTGTCGACCGTCAAATAAACTTAACATCAAACTATGTTAATCTTCTGGCTAGATGAAACCTTTCCACCATTTAAATTGATTGACGATCGTTTTGTTCATCGAAAAAATGACCTTTGAGA